TCGGTCACTGTTAGAGAAGGCTAGATGCATGCTGAATACGACAGATTTGGGGTCTGAATTTTGGGCAGAAGCTACAGCGATGGCTTGTTATTTGAAGAATCGGTCTCCCACTTCTTCTGTTAAAGACATGACGCCATATGAAGCTTTGTATGGTAAGAAACCTAATCTGTCTTTTATTCGAGTTTTTGGTTGTGATGCGTATGTGCATGTGCCAAAGGAGAAGAGAAGCAAGCTTGACAGTAAATCTGAGAAGTGCAAGTTTGTGGGGTTCAAGGATGGCATCAAGGGATACAAGTTGTGGAATCCTGTGAGTAGAAGCATTATATACAGCAGAGATGTAATCTTTAGAGAGGTAAAACAACGTGTGGGAACTCTTGAAGATCTTGAGCAGTCAAAGAAAATTCAGTTTGATGTGACTACAGTAGAGCAAGAGGAGGAGATGACTCCAAATGTTGCTGCAGAGACTGAAAATTTAGAGTCTATAGAATCTGACCATGAAGATAAACTTGATAGTGTGGCTGATGAGGGTTTTGTGGATGATTTTGAGGATGATTCTGATGATGAAGTTGTGGTGCCATCAACTTTGAGGAGATCTACAAGAGTTAGAAAGGCACCAGTTCGTTTCTCTCTAAGTGCATTGAGTGGATTACATGCTTTGAATGTGATTGGTGATGAACCTAGGAATGTAAATGAAGCAAGAGCCATGGAAGATGCAAATCTGTGGGAGGTTGCGATGAATGATGAGATGCAGTCACTGGACAAGAATAATACATGGATCCTATGTAAATTGCCTAAGGATAGAAAGGCAATTGGTTGCAAGTGGGTGTTCAAAAGAAAGTTGCAGGCAGATGGGACAATTGCAAAGTATAAGGCGAGACTCGTTGCAAAGGGATTCTCGCAGATTGAGGGTGTTGATTATGGTGAGATTTTCTCTCCTGTGGCCAAGTTAACATCAATCAGGTATGTTCTATCTATTGCTGCTGCGTTTGATCTTGAAATTGAACAACTTGATGTAAAGACGGCATTTCTACATGGAGATTTAGAGGAGGAAATTTACATGAGGCAACCTGAGGGGTTTGTATGTAAAGGGAAGGAAGACTTGGTGTGTAGGTTGAAGAAGTCTCTGTATGGGCTTAAACAATCACCAAGGATGTGGTACCAAAAGTTCGACTCCTATGTTCTTCAGCATGGTTTTAGCCGCAGCAACGTGGATCACTGTGTGTATGTAAAAAGGTTAGAAAATGTCTTTGTTATTTTAACCTTATATGTAGATGATATGTTGCTGATAGGGAATAGCAAGGAGTTGATAAATTCTGTGAAGGGTTTGTTGGCTGCACAATTTGACATGAAGGATCTTGGGGCTGCAAATTTTATTTTGGGTATGCAAATTACTAGAGATCGTCAGAGTTGTAAATTGTGGTTAGGGCAGAGAAAGTACATCGAGGAGGTGTTGAAGAAATTTAACATGGTAGACTGCAAACCTGTGAAGACTCCTATGACTTTGGGAGTGAAATTGTCTACTGATCAGTGTCCTAAGTCTGAGGAAGATGCTGAAGAAATGACACATGTGCCATATGCGAGTGTTGTAGGTAGTTTGATGTATGCCATGGTGTGCACGCGACCCGATATTGCACAAGCAGTGGGAGTTTTGAGTCGCTTTATGTCAAATCCTGGTAAGGAGCATTGGAGTGCTGTAAAGAGGGTTCTTAGATATCTTCGTGGGACCTCGGATTTATCATTATGTTATGGAGGCATGGCGACTGGGGATGAGCTAGATGTGATAGGTTTTGTGGATGCTGATTGGGGAGGTGATCTCGATAGTAGGCGTTCCACAAGTGGGTATGTATTCTCTTTATTTGGTGCTGCTGTTTGTTGGATGAGTAAAAGGCAAAGTACTGTGGCTTTGTCATCGACTGAGGCAGAATACATGGCATTGACACATGCTGGCAAGGAAGCTATGTGGCTTCGAAGATTGAGTTTAGAGCTTGGTTTCAAGCTTGATGATGTGAAGATTGGATGTGACAATCAAGGGGCTATTTACTTAGCCAAGAATCCTGCCTTTCATTCGCGATCAAAACACATTGACATACAATACCATTTCATCAGGCAAAAGGTGGAGGAAAAATTGGTGTTGTTAGAGAAGGTTGATACACTTGTTAATGCTGTAGATTTTCTTACCAAGGCTGTGAGCTTAGCAAAGTTTACATGGTGTGTTGATGAGGTAGGCCTTCATTGTGTGAAATATTCGCCAAGTGGGAGAATAACTTGGGACCCTCTAACACCTGTTTCGAAACCCTTTTTGTTCTTTTGTTGAAGTCAATAAGTTGGTAAGACTTCTATAAATTGGTGCTTGTTATGACAAAATGGAAGGAGCATCATTTTGCATTATACATTATCAAGGTCAACTGGAGGGGCATAATTTGGTTTCATTTCTTAGAGGCATTTAATAGACTGGTGGAGGGTCAATATCTTTATTAGTACACAATCCGCCCAAATGAGATTGCCAGCTGTTCAGCTCTATGGTAGAATTAGTTTTCTCATTTTAATATTATTTTAATTAACAAGAATGAACAAGACAGGTTACACATTGTCATGATCTCACATCGGAAGTGCATTGAAAAAATCTTAGACTTATAGGGAGAGAGTTTTTCCACCTAATGAATTAGCCTTTTGGATGTAAAACTTCTAGTCCGTGGCAATGGTATCAGAGCAGACCCAATCCCCACGTGTGATAATGAGTCCACTCGAGAGTGAGATGAATAGGTAGACAAGGGGTTTTACCTCACGTGTGATGTGGGTTCACTCGAGAGTGAGATGGACAAGTAGACGAGGGACCTCACTTGTGACGAGGGCGTCATAGGATTGGGTGGGGGAAAATGTCATGATCCTACATTGGAAGTACATTAATAGAGAGATCTTGGACTTATAAAGAGAGAGTCCATTCAATTAATTGATTAGCCTTTTGGGTGTGAAACTTATAGCTCGTGATAGCAAGCTAAGTTTTATTTAACCATTTTTGGTCTACTTTTAAGTAAATAATTTACACATTTCCACTTAATATACTAACATTTTCATATGATATAGTTCAGATTTTTAATATTTTGTATCAAATTATAGATCTTATCTCAACTTCAAGTTGTGGGTTCTCAAATTTATCTATCAAAATAGTTCCTTAATGTTGGCTTTAACGTTCTCAAGTCAACCTAGCAGCAATTAAGAAATTAATTTAATTGATCATTATTCCACGGATCTAATGTCAGCCTTATTGAATATGGAATTTATATTCAAACCAAAAAGATACAAAAGGATCTTTATTGATTTCCTTAGATTTGAAGTGATTTGGAACCATGTGGGAAAATGAAGGAAAATAGAAAGAGATTTTAGAGAATATTGAAAGGATCTTATGTTCCTACACTTTCTAATATCTATTTCAATACGCTGCAAAAGAGTTATATAACATTTTCAATGTCAACCCTCTACAAGTTTTACTTCTAAAACAGGAAGGAGAAAATGTTCCACGAGAAAGCTCAAACGAGGCCTCTGACTAATGCAAATGTAAACCCAGAAAAATTTGACATTGATGTACTGAGTTTGAAGTTGCCATGCAACTGCTTAACTTGGACTCAGAGTCAGCAACATTTTGCACTAGCTAATCACGTTTCCACTGAACCTGCAAAGAAGCCACGGTTGTTTGACTTTCTTCAATTTAGTAGACCCCATCTCCCTCTCTCCTCCATGAAACTATACAAAGAAAATGATTTATTTGTTTAATGGCAGGCAACCATCATCAAGAGCTGTCAGTCAGGTTTCTAGCTTTGAAATTGCCAGCTTCATCTAGCATGCTGTTTGACAAAAAGTAGAACCCTGAAACAAAATAAACTAATGGGTTCCATATTAGTTTATAAAAATTCCTTCAGAATTACAACGTAGTGTTGTTTGTTTTAAGTTTCACAAAAAGATTCTTCATTTTTAGCAGTTTTGTTTTTGGTTTTCGTCAATGAAACTCAAAGCTTAGAAATTTTCATATGTTTTATTAATGAAAGGAGTAAATAAATAATGGATTAGTTGACTAATATTCAAGGCTCTATGCTTAATGTTCACAAGGTGACAAGGACACATTTAAAAGCTCCGAGAGACACGGCAGTTGACTGCTACAGGAAATTCGTTGGTCTTTAAACGCAAAAGGTTGTAGCAGCTAACATCTTAGAAAGTTAAAAGGAATAAATGATTTTTGTGTATAAAAATTGGACAAGAGAACACAAGACAGGACAAGTTATGAAACAAGAAAGTAGGTTCATGGTAAAGTAAGGAAATTAAGTGTCTAAACAAAAAGTACTGTAGTGCTATTGTCCAACAAGAAGGCTTTAAAATCCACTTTCCGTTTTTCTACTTTTCCTCTTAGCCTCTTTGGCTGATCTTTCCACAATTATTGTATAATATTTATACAATAATTGTGTTGAATAAATAGAATCAAGGGTATGAACTCAAGGTATGGTGAGAACATGTCGTTTGGCTTTTATTTGCTTCAGTATCTCTTTAACTTAGTGGAAAGTGGGACACGGACCGATAATGGCACCAATACTTTCAGCATAACGAAGTTTCCTGCCAGTTTCGAGGATGCTAAAGCTAGCCGGTTGTGGTCCATCACTGACTAACAATAGTAGAAATAAATTATTGTTATACAATAATTGTGTTGAACAGGGATTGTTAGAGGTTGAGTTCAATTGGTTTATAGCTGGAACCGAAAATAAAAGGAAATAGCAACAATGATGTTGCCCACAATTGAATTTTCTAACAGCTTCCAACACCTATAGTTAGTAGACACCTGTTGTCGAGGAATTATCTGCAAATTGCAATTTATACCGCAAAATAAAAAATAAAAAAAACCAAAACGAAACAAAATTAGATTTCCCAAGGGGATATCATCTGTCTATCTTCCATTTCTAAAGGGAGAAATCTTTATTTAAAGAAAAAAAAAAAATAGCTGTAGCTTGGGAACCATGGTGGATGCAGTAGTGTCATTTGTGGTGGAGAGGGTTGGGGACTATCTCATCAAAGAAGCAGCCTTCTTACGAGGTGTAAGAGGTGAAGTGGAGTCGCTGAAAAAAGATCTGGAATGGATGCTTTGTTTCATAAAGGACGCTGAAGATAAACAAGTTGACAATCCTTTGATACGCCAGTGGGTTTCTGACATCCGAGAAATTGCTTACGATTGTGAGGATGTCTTAGACGAATTTATGGTCAAAGTCCATGATGAAAAGATTTCTAATGTCCTCAAGGTCGAAGAAGGGGAGACTTCGACAAGAAGGCAAGGACTCTTTACTTGCAGCAAGAATTGTTCTTGCAAATCTGCGGTGGCCAAACTATACATCAAAGGCAAGGGCATGGGCATGGGAAAGGAGATTGGTGCACTCAAAAATAGACTTAAAGAAGTGTCTGATAGATGTGGAATGTATGGCCTCAAAGATATTAATAACAGGTGGGAAGAGAGCAAGACTCTTCGCGAATTTAAAGAAGTAAGAAGAACCACATCGTTTGCATTTGAAGAGAATGTCATTGGCTACAAGGATGATATTGAAACATTGTTGGGTAAACTACTTTGCAATGTGCCACAGCGTTCTATAATCTCTATCTGGGGTACCGGTGGTTTGGGCAAAACAACACTTGCCAAAAAATTGTACCACCATGATAAGATAAAGGAAAAATTCCAACATTGTGCTTGGGTTTGTGTATCTCAAGATTTTAACGTTGTGGATCTTCTTCGAAGAATTATAAATTCTTTCAATTTCAACCAGACAAAGAAATTGAAGAAGATGGAGGAAGAAGCATTGAAGAAGATGAAGGAAGAATCTTTGAAATGGGAGATGGCGGAGGAAGAAGCTTTGAAGAGATATATTCATGAATCTTTGAAAGAAAGCTCATACTTGGTGGTAATTGATGATGTTTGGGGAAAAAATGCTTGGGGAAGGCTCATAGAAGCCTTTCCAAATAACAAGCATGGTAGTAGGGTCATTATGACCACCCGCAATAAAAACGTTGCTGATTGTGCAGATTATGTCCATGATCTTCCATTTCTAACGGAAGAAGAAAGCTGGAGGTTATTCGACTTAAAAACCCGTGGAAAGGCAAATGAAACCAAAGAAATGAAAAAGTTGGGAAAGGAAATGTTGCAAAAATGTGGTGGTCTACCGCTGGCGATTGTTTTATTGGGTGGCTTGTTATCTAGAAAGAGTGCACAAGAGTGGCGCTTGGTGCATGATCACATTTGGCAACACTTAAACCGTGATTCGGATAATCATATCAATTATTTATTGTCTTTAAGCTTCAATGATTTACCTTATCAAATGAAGCCCTGCTTTCTCTACCTAAGCCAATTTCCGGAAGATTTTGAAATCCCGGTAAGGCAACTAATTCATTTGTTGGTGGCTGAGGGTTTCATACCGCAAAATAGAGAACTAATGGAAGAGACAGCTTATTATTACGTGAATGAACTGATCCAAAGGAGCTTGATTCAAAAAGATAAAACGCATAGAGGGAGGATTCTAACATGTCGTATCCACGATCTCTTGCGGAATCTTGCAATTGATAGAGCAGAAGAACTCAACCTCTTCCACATTTACGAGGTAAATAAAGGTTCTACTAGCTCCTCAAAACCAAGACGACAAGTTGTTTATTCAGGAATAGGAAGTAACTGGCAGTTGCAGCAATCTAAAGTCTTGCGTTCCCTTTTGTTCTTCACTAGTATCAAGTGCAGAGGAAAAAGTAAACACTTTTCTAAGCTGTGCTCCAGCTTCAGGTTGCTAAGAGTGCTCAATCTTTCGAATTTCGTTGTAGAAACAATGCCGCAAGAAATGGGTAAGTTAATTCATTTGAAGTATTTGCAATTAGGGCTAACTTTTAATCCAGATGTTCCACAATTGATTCTCAACTTAGTGAGCCTACAAACTCTGAACCTACTCGATAATGATTTATACCCGAGGCTCCCTACTGAAATCTGTAAATTGCAGGAGTTGAGACATCTAATTGGAAATTTTATAGGGTATTTTTGGATAGACAAATTGAAAAACCTTCAAACTTTGAAGAGCATACCAGTGGAGACTTGGATTAAAACAAATCCAGAACAATTGGTAAATCTTACAGAGCTGCACATATCAGGTTACGGTGGAGAAATAAACCGGTTTACTTTTGATTCTATTTCCAAGTTGAAAAGCCTTCAAATTTTACGGGTTTACACACCAACAAGGGAAATTCCTTCTCTCAAACCACTCTCAGATTGCCAAAATCTGGTAGAGTTGACATTAAGTGTGAGGATAGAGAAAGTTCCAGAAGAAATGCCTGAATTTTTGCCAAATCTTGAATTCCTCGAGTTATATTCCAGCGGACTGGTAGATGACCCCATGCCTACATTAGAGAAGTTGTTGAACCTCACTGTGCTTAATTTAGGCAATGATTGTTATGATGGAACGAAACTGGTCTGCAGCAAAGGGGGTTTCCCTCGGCTTGAAATTCTAGCTATTTATGGAAGTCATTTAGAGGAGTTGCAAGTAGCGGAAGGAGCAATGCCTGGGCTTAGAAGTTTCATCAAGTCATATCATACGATCGATTTCAGAATTCCAAAAAGATTGAAAGCCCTTCCTCCCCCATCCCAACGTGAATACGAAAGTTATGTCTTAAACGAGTTCTAATGGTTTTTGTGTTGCGTTTTCCTTTTATTTGTCTTTTGGCCAGCAATTAAGTTTGACATATCCGAATTTAATAATTTCTATTCCCTCTTGTACGCTGGTTGATTTACTTTTTCACCTTTAATTTGAGCTTCTCTACTCATCAAATTCCTATTATATTTATTGGTTGTGATTAAGCTTACAAAGAAATGCGAAAAACTTTTCTGGATTCTCGAATCCGCTGCTTTTCTAAGCTTAAATTCAATCCCATCATGGTTTTGATTTTGAAACTAGGCCATATGCTGATATAGTAACTAATTATGAAATCTTTGTGAAAGGTTCTGTTGGGATATTTGTGATTTGCTTTTCTATTTGTTTAGCAGTTTGGTTCGTCTTTATTCCATTTCATATATGTATGAGGATCCGCATAGTCCTCGATTTATGTGTTATTTATCCATTCTTACTTTTTTTATGCCAATGTTGGTGACTGGAGATAACTCTCTTCAATTATTCCTGGGATGGGAGGGAGTAGATCTTGCTTCATATTTGTTAATTCATTTCTGGTTTACACGACTTCAGGCAGATAAAGCAAGTACAAAAGCTATGTCTATCAATCGAGTAGGTGATTTTGGATTAGCTCCTGGGATCAGTGTTCTGAAAATTGGACCGGATCGTCCAGTCGGATCGGTTCGACTGGGAGCCAGCGGCATTTCCAATCCGATAACTTCTAAAAATCGGTATTTTCAGTTAAACTGGATTGAGGCGCAGTTGGACCGTCAGAATAGTGTCGAATCGCGGTCCAATCACAACTAAATCTCGTCGGATTTCGGCATCGTTCGACGGAGAAAATACCACCATTCGACTTGACGACATCTCCACAACAAAACCCATCCATTTTCAGTGGCCGTCGTCCAACCTTCATCGCTCGCCGTCCACCTAAAGTTCATACGATCGTCGAACTTTCTTCTTGATTCCGGCAATATCCGGCGTCGATGAAACTCCTTAACACCACCATCAGATTCGTCGAAACCTATACATCAAAAGCCCTATGATTCCAAACTTCGATTGGCTATCGATCGTCGCTGTCGCCACCACTCACCAGTCTCTTCACACGACAGGGGTGTTTTAGACAGATTTCAAACCTTGAGGGAGTATTATAGGGGTGTTTTTGATGAATTTTAAACATTTAGGGACTAAAAATAATTTTATAGGATACGGTCCAACCGACCGATCCAATCGAAAACCAGACCCTTAAATGAGTCATAATCTGGTCCGATTTTCGAAACATTGCCTAGGATTTTGGGTCGTTTTATTGTATTCTTTAGAAAAATTATTTAATAAAAAGTACAATTGTAAATAGGAATAGAATTTAGGAGTCTTAGTCGGAATTGAAATATGAATCCTATTAGAAAAAGAATATCTCATATATACCTATAAATATAGAGGTCAGAACCAATTCAAAGTTAGGGGTCAGAACCAATCCAAGTCAATGAACATTATGTAATAGTTATATGATTCCAACTTGCTAGTTAAATGCATGAAAACTTGAAAAAGATTTATATCAGACAACATCCAAATTCATATTCATGCATATGGATCAAAGAGAGGTTACTGGCCTTCTAAATAATTACAATGATGTGAATTGAAAGCACTACTTCTAAATAAAGCCCAATCTTCTATTTATTAATCCAAGCCTTGTATTAGTTTCTTGTGAAATATTTTCGGCCCAAACAAAAAAGGGTACATTTTTGTGCCCTGATCCAATTCGGATTATGTCTTCTCTCTTTTATAATAAAAGGGAAATGATATTTAGCCCCTGCCACTTTTTTCCTTAGCCCCCATTTTCTATTTTAGGCGAGGATATAGTTGTGATTAAAAAAAATTAATCTTCTTCCTCCACACTTTAATTTCTAGCTTTATATTGTAGTTACCTAAAAATTAAATGAAATTTAGGTTAATAAAAATTCATAAGGAAATTGAAGTTCATGGTAGTTATCAAAATTACTTAATATTTCTTCCTTGAGGCATGAATTGATTTTCAGATCTGAATATCATTCCACAACTAGAGCAAACACAACTACCATTTGTTTATCTTTGGGAGAGTTCTTCATTAGTTTTTTGTTTTTTCTTTTCTTTTCTAACTTTTATATTTGGGAAAACACTTCGAATTATATTGTTTAAAAGGGAAACTGAATATATAACTAAGAAATTACTATAATTTTTAGTCAACAAAGTGTTTATGTTAATTTTTAGAGTTTTTTAGAGCTAAAAACTTTATATAAACAAAGGATATTAGAAGGTTTCACATCTAGAGCAAAATAATGAACACATTTATAATTTTTTGCCAAAAAGAAGAAACAAGAAGTTAAATGTGGTCCAATTTCGATTCTGATTCAATTATAATAGAAATATAGTACCTATCATCAATGATTATAGATTCTACTATAATTTTAAAAATATACTTTCTTTCTTAATGTTATCTTCATATCATGTAAATTAAATTTAAAAATCTTTCAGTCCTCCCTAAAATAATTATTTAGAAGATAATAAAATTGTACAGAAATGGAATGACTTAATATGGATGAGAATTAATGATGTTTGACCAATGAAAGGCACAGCCAAAATATGAGAAATTTAAAGCTTGTGTTGTGGTTCCCATATGCATGTTTAATTAAATTCTTTTTAATAAAATATATGTTCCTGTTCGGTCAAGAGAACTCAATTCAAAGATAAACTCTTTTCCTAAATAAATTTTCGAAAACATTTTCCTAATTCATCCCACTTCAGGACACCCAATTAATTAATGAGTAATACTACATATACATCATTTTCATATAATATTTTTCATACAACATTATGTAGCAAGATATAATTGGCTAATTTAAAGTTAAAATTAAAATTTTATCCAATCATATCTTACCACATAATATTGTATGAAAAATATTGTATGTGTAACATTACTCATTAATTAACTTAGTCAGTGTCTAAATGGGTATTTTGTTTTTAATACCCATTAATCTAAATTACAAGCCCAATAACCTGACGTATGACGGTATGATATGTCGGCCAGGAAAACTCAATTCAGAGATAAACAACTGTCATTTCAATCTCTAAGTTCTAACTTTCTGGTGTGAACAGGCTAAAAAACAGAGTCGGCTCAAAACACTAATATTTTTAAACTTCTTAATAAAACAAAAAGGGAGTTGGAATTTCACGCACCGAAGTCAAAAACGTTTTATAAAACATACACCGTATAATCTTTTTATAATCATAGTATTAAAACTAACTAAATTTATTATTACACGAAAAAGTTATAACTTAACAAATACAAGAATTATTTTTTATTAGTTTATCAATAAGCGTTTATTGCCACAATTTAAAAGGCAATTTGTATCAGTTTATCAGTATTTGAGTGATTGAATCATGAATACTTAACTATCAAACTATTGGTTCTTTCCCATTCAACTATAAGAGGGATTAAATTCGACATTTTTGAAATTCTCTATGTAACACCACGACCTATTGCCAGCTCAACATTGTTAAGATATTATCCGTTTTGGTAGTTTGGGTGATCTGACTTTAAAGCCTAACTCCTCACAGTTTTGTTTGCAGGCCTAAGAACACATACCTAATCCCCAAACACATCTTGACATGTGGGGAATTTTCCTAGTATTTAACCAGCTCAGACCCTTTCTTCCTAAGCGATGTGGAATGTCTCAATCTCCCTCCCTCAAGATCCAGCGTCCTCGTTGCGATCCCTCTTGGGGAAGGCAAGACCTCTTGACTATCTGTACACTTCCAATTGAGATTGACTCTGATATCAATTGTAACACCCCGACCCACTGTCAGCCCAACGCTGTTAAGATATTGTCTACTTGGCAGCTTGGGTGGTCTGACTCTGAAGCCTAGCCCCTCATAATTTCAAGCCCAAGAACCTTTACTCAGGCCCAACGTGTCTTGGGATATAGGGGATTTCTTGGTTTTTAACCAATTCAGGCCTCTTCTTCCCAAGCGATGTGGGATGTCTCAATCTACCCCCTCTCAAGATCTAGCATCCTCGCTGCTAGGGGTGTTCAGTTCCGGGTACCCTGCACTTTTTGAAGGAACCGGAACCGGAACCGACAGTTCCTTGAAATTTGGAACCAGAATCGGAACCGACAATTCCGGTTCCTAGATACCCAGAACCAGAACCTGTAACAACGGTTCCGGTTCCGGTTCCGGTTCTGGTACCCTATAAAATTCATGACCCCCCAAAAGTTTTTAAAATGGCAAAAAAACCCTTAAAAACTTACAAATACCCCCCCACCTGGCACTTATTAACAAAAATAAAATTACAAATAATAAATTAAAAATTACAAACTCCATTACTTTGTAAAGGTAGATTCTCAAAAGTCAAACCAACTTACTTTAAATGTTATGAAATATAAATATAAATGTATTCACATTACTTTTTCTACAAAAGTTTTTATTAACCCCCCTAATCTTTAATTTTATTTTATATTAGTCTCGGTTCCTGGTTCCTGGTTCCGGTTCCAAAAATTTGGAATTGGAACCTACCCATTGACGATTGGTTCTGGGTAGGAACCAGAACCAAACCCAGGGTACCCGCCGGTTCTGGTTCCAACCGGTTCTTTTGAACACCCCTACTCGCTACGATCCCTCATGGGCCAGGCGAGACCTCTTAACTATCCATACACTTTCAGTTGGGATTGACTCTAATACCAATTGTAACACTCCAACTCACTGCTGACCCAACACTGTCAAGATATTGTTTACTTTGGTAGCCTAAGTGGCCTGACTCTGAAGCCTAGCCCCTCACAGTTTTGTTTTCAGTTTCAACAACCAATATTTAAGCCTAAAATGTGTCTTGACATATGGAGGATTTCCCTGGTATTTAACTAGCTCAAGCCTTTCCTTCCCAAGCGGTGTGGGATGTCTAATCTTGTTTGTCTATTATGAAACCCTACCATGGAAAATACTCCTACAGGGGGTGAACAGGAGATAATAAAATTAAATGCGGAATT